CAGAATACAAATTCTATGGACACTGTAGCAATCCAGCAATCATGTACCAGTCACCAGAATGAGAGCATTTAGTGAAAATTCCTCTCCTAGGATCATGAAACATCTCAATTTTTAGGTAAAGAATACTAAAGTAGTTGGAATGAAATCTTATTAATGAAAATAATTTTAAATTGCACTTTATGGTTATATTGCTAATTACAGCCTTGTCAAAGGTTTTATCTGGCAGAATGATGTTACTTTTTTTAGCCCTTAAACATGATTAATGTTAGTTATTTCTTAGATGAAGCGGACAAATGTAATCTTTATAAAGTCACAGATTCAAATACATCAATGAATATAAGTAAGCTCATGGAGACTTTCACCCTCAGCTGTGTTTGAAGAACAACTAGACTGCCCCTGTGGCACAGCCAGGTACCAGATTTTAGGAAGAGATTCCTTCTGGAGAGCACAGTATGTTATTATCTTGACAACAAAGTGACAGCAAAAGAACACTGGCAACCTCCCACACTGGTCCCTGTTATGCCAAGCCAGCAGCACGTGTGAGACTGAGCCAAAGCAGAGCAGGCCAAAGCAATGCCATACTCACTTGGAAGTTAGTGAGACCACGTAGGAATCTGTCCCATAGATGGTGGAAGACTTGTTGTTCTTTGTATTTGCTAAACGAACCTGAGAAAAAGAAAATGATCAGTGTTGCTTTTATCAGTAGAATGTGGATCTCCCCCAGTGTAAGTAACATTCCCAGAGGTTTCCCTGTTCACTATCAGGGAAAGAAATCACAGGAAGCTCATTGACACCCAGTATGTTATAGAAGAGGAAAAGTTGGAGTCACATTTCCACATTTCTAGAAAAGTTTGGAGAAAGATCCAAAAGATCCAGTAGAACCTCCAGGGACTAACTGTGAACCAGAAAATTCAAGTCCACAGTGTAATCCCTCTGTTGCTGTTACTGTGGCACCTAGTGATGGCTCCTACCCCTCAGCCCAGCCAGTGGCAGACCCCACAAGGGAAAGAAAGTCACACAAATAACAAGTTTCTCTACCTTTCCTTCAGCAAGACCAAAGACAATGATATTCTCTGCTGGCCACAATAAGCAGGTCACAGCACTCTGCAAAGGAGGAGGTAAAAAGAGAGGTAAGAGCTCCACCCTACCCAGCTTCCTGCCCCACTGCCACCTAAAACAGTTCATGAACAGACACTGTTCAGGCAAGAGAGATGGGGCATTTGGACAGGCCTTACAGTAGCTGAAGATGCTGGACAAACCTTACTTCATGCTGAAGCTTAAATTAGATAAAAGTGATCTGGGGCAAAGTAATTGAGCACAGGAGGACTATGGGAGGGCAAAAAAGTTACAGGGATGTGTTCAGTTTGGAGCTCTTTTGTGAGTATTACTGAGCAGTGCTTGGCTTGCCACATACTATTGATGAATGCATAAAATCATGGCTGTTTTGAAAGATTTTTTTAAACATGTATAAAATATAAAAATAATTTCACTGTAACAACTTCTGTAATAGCTATGAGAATACTCGTGCATTGGATCTTTATTTGATTAATAAGAAATAGTGTTTATTTTTTCATTGACAAGTAAGATGGTTATTAGATGCTACCAAGTAGGTCAGGTAGAAACAGGTTCATTAAATCCAAACCAAAGGTATTCTCAAAATCTGAGGTGGAGTCAGGATGAATAAAGCTAACCATAAAACCCAGCTGTAAGAGAAGGCCAAGAAAGTTTATGAAAGTCCTTCACATCCACCCTGCAGAACTTCAGTCAGCAAGAAGGCTGGTGTTTGGCACTGTGCCACCAGCACCAGCCTCACTGGCTCTCTGTCCCATTTTAAGCATGTGGGACTGCTTAAGATACAGATCAGCATTTATTCATTCCTCATTTATTTATCTCATCTTCCATCCCTGCTCTGATCATTTCTATGAGTAAACACAGCTACAATCAGACAACAAAATGTCTCAAGGTAACCAAACTGTTCAAAATTTAAATGTCCAACCAATGACCAAGACCCATTTTCATTACCCCTGTTTCCCAGGAATTTGTGTGTTTCCCTCATTATCTGTCAGACTCATTTTCCACTATAACACAACAAAAGTTTGGGAACAAGCCTCACACATTGGTGATGTGCTCATTGTTTGTCCTCCTGGCCCTCAGCAGGAGGCTTGGCTTGCCAGTGTGATCACACACTGGGATCACTGTGTGTGTGAGAGGGCCCAGTGGTAGGAGAGGGAAAGGGCTCAATAAATGATCTGTCATATTGACTGAACATTTCAAAAATTTAGTTACAGGAGAATTATTACAGTGTAACAGTATTTAGTTACAGGAGAAAGCCAGACACAGTGGTAAAACCCCAGACATACAGCATCAGAAAAAAAAAGGATTTAATGTGTTACAAGTAGTAGAAAAGACACGAGGAAATGAGAAATGAGAGTAAAAAATACTGAATTTCAACATTAAAAATAAAAAATCCTGTACATGTGCCATGCACAGCATCTGAGCTTGTGAGAGGCCAGCAGGCCCCCACTGGGCTGGCAGCTGGAGGGGCAGGCAGCAAGCAGTACACAAGGACAGAAGTCTGCAGGGAGGCTAAATGTGCCCACACCTGGGACAGTAACCCTGTTCAGGAAACGGACAAATGGACACCAAGCCCCTGTTGCTCTCTTTTCTTCATGACACTCTATTCTCATGACAACTCAGTGCAGCAGCTCAACTGCAGACAAACCAGAGGCTGACCAGCAGCTTTCCTGTCACAGAAACACAGAACTCCCTGGGCTCCCTGCAGCAGTCAGAGCAGCCACAGTGGCAGGCCATGACCCAACTCTAACACAAAAGCTTTCAACCCAAAGGCTGAGGCTAACCTTTCACCTGAGAGACAGCTTGAGAAAGCCTGGCACAGACTCCAGCAACTCCATCAGGAGCAGCTCTGTCTACGTCTTCTGAGGATTTGGACATGAAGGATGATTCCTCCTACCCTGCACAGAACTTTCTTGGTGACACAGAGACTATGGGGTGATGGCACTTGCCTGGAAAGCCTGGGGCACCTGCTGGACTTTTGCCTCTGAAGGTACAAGTAGTCAGTACATTGTATTTTCTCACTCTGATGGCTTTCTGTGCAAGGAATTCATAACACCTTTGCCTTTTCCAGGCAGATCTCAGGGCAAGCTTGGCAAACACCTACTGGGCAGACTGCTCTCTGACACAGGCAGGCTGAGCCAGAGCAGCAGAACACAGAGGTGGCCAAGGAGTAAACCTGACAGAAATCACAAACCTGAAGCAACTGAGCATGTGGAAATTGCACAGTTTGAATTCTGCACACTTTTGTTTAATAAGGCATCTTGGAGTTTAGAGCTGCAAACGTGTGAAAAATAGTTGGGCTTTGAGTGTTGCATATTTTTCTCTTTCAGCTCCCTTAAAACAGTCTGTCTACTGATGCCTAAAGTAGTCCTCAAAGTTTTGTAACTGACTGCATTGATCATTCAACAATTTACTTGGTTGCACCCAGGCATTAGGACACCTCTGAAGCTTGATGAGCAATATGTGCCTCAGAATTTAGAGATTCTCTTAGGATCTTTAAAGGCCAAGTACAGTTTGGCCAAGTACACCTGTGAGTATGAGCAGAGAGACTTCTCATTGTCTTTTCCTACATATGCCGGAGAAAATGAAGTCAAACAGAAGTCTGGGTCTCACCGTTTGGATGAACTTGTTGCATATCACCTTCTTGTCACCCCTGCAGAAAAATATGAACAAAAATGACTGTCAGCAAGCCTACACATTCTGATCACCCTTCTGTTTATATATGGTCTAGTTTGATATTGCCAAACACAGGTCACTGAAGTTTTGCGTGCTGCTAGTCTATCACAACTTTAGGCAAAAAACCAAAAAGACCCCTCAAGTCTGAGCTTCCAAACTCCTGGTGAACTGCTTTTCTGAGTACCGTTAGCACAACTCCTGCCAGAAAATGAGGCTGCAGTGGGGCAGATGTGTGCCATTGCTGCACAGCTGTGACACATGATGGCAACACAGGCTCCAGCTAGCTGCAGGGCTCTGTAAGGGCCCTGCTGAGGAAACCTCACCTGCTGCTCCCTTCGGGCACCTGTGTGGCTCCCTGTGGGCCAGGAGATGGGCACTGCAGTGTGTGCCAGGGTGAGGATCAGCCTAAGGGAGCCCATGGCAGGGCGGAATGGAGCATGCTGGACCTCACCGCACACTCACCACTCCTCGCCGATCCTGTACACGTAGACAACGTTGTCCGTCTGCCCGATGGCCAGTTTAGTGGAGTCTGGCGAGAAGGCCATGCCTTTGACCACGTAGCTCTTCCTGCCGTACTGCGGAGAGGATCGGTGTGACCGTGGGAAGGCCGGCTGCCCCAGCGCTGCCGGCCCACGCCCCGCCCGGCCCCGGCCCCGCTCACCTTGGCGTCTGCCGGCTTGGTGGAGAACTTGTCGCGCCGCTCGCCCTGCTCGTCGTAGAGCAGCACCACGCGCTCCGCCGTGCACACGGCGAAGCGGGCACTGCTGGCGGACCAGGCCATGCAGGTCACCCGCGCCGTCCCGTCCTGCGGGCACACACGGCTTAGCGGGCACACAACCAGCCCCAGCGGGCACACACGGCTCAGCGGCTGGGCACACACGGCTCAGCAGACACACTACAGCCTCAGCGGGGCCGCTAGCGCCCCAGACCGGCCAGGGCCGCTCTCCCCGACTCGGCCTGGCCCGGCCCGCTCCCCCGCGGCCCGATCCCCCCCAGCCCGGCCCGGTCCGACCTGCGGGGCCAGCAGGGTCCTCACGTGCCGCAGCTGCATCGTGCCCTCCGCTGGGCCCGGGCCCGGGCCCGGGGTGGTCCCACGGGTCGGGGTGGTCCCACGGGCCCGCTCCGCCGCCGCCGCCGCTGCGGAGCTCGCCTCGCCCCGCCCCCGCTGCCGTGGCAACCCCGCCGCCTCCGCCGCGCTGACGCGAGCGCGTCGAGCCCGCGGGGACCGACCCCCCGCACACCGGCAGAGATCGGCTCGGCTCGGCTCGGCTCGATCCCATCCCGGCTCCGCTATGGAGGCGCTGCGGGCGGCGGGGCGCGCCGTGCTGCGGAGCCCGCGCCTCGCCCGGCACGGTCTGGGTCTCCGCCGGCGGCGTAGTGAGTGCGGACGAGTGCGGGGTCGGGGCCGGGCATCGCTCCGGGCGAGGAGCCCGCAGCTCGGCGCAGTCGGGCTGGGAATACGGCAGGGAAGTCTGAGGGGCCTGGAGAACTGGGGGGCAGAGCGGCCGTGAGGGTAGTCGGGTTAGGGGAGGCGAGGGCGTCGGGCCGCGGGGGCCGAGGCACCGTAGCGCTGCAGCTTCTCGCCGAGCCCTCCCTGTCCCGCTGCCCGGGCTGTCGCCTCCTGCCCCACTTGTAAATCGAGGCCGCCCGCGCCGGGGGGCTGGCGGGCCTGGGCGGCCGTGCCAGGCGCTGGAACACGCTGGACTGCAGAGGGGACCTCCCCGGCCTCCGCGGGCCTCGGGCCCCTCGGGCTGCCACTCCTGGTCCTCTGCGAGTGTGCCAGGCCAGCCCCTGCTGTCTGCGGCCCAGCAGGATCCAAGACCGACCCCTGACACATCCCTGGACGTGTTCAAGGCTAGGTTGGACGGGACTTGGAGCAAACTGGTCTAGTGGAAGGGGTCCTGCCTGTGGGAGTAAAACTAGATGAGCTTTAAGGTCCTTTCCCACCCAAAAGGGTCCGTGATTCCATGACCCTGCAGGTACCCTGTGGCACAGGAGGGCCACGTTTGGCTGTTCTCAGTCAGCTGCACAAGGCTTTGCTGGAGCACCCACACTTCCCCTGGCAGCCCTGGTATACATGGACTGTCCTCAGAGTTTGGGGTGACACAGGGTTCTACTGCCCGGGGTGGAGGTCACTGGTGCCTGCATGGCACCAGGCAGCCTCCCTGATAGTTGTCACTTGTGGAAGAGTATGCTGTGCAAATAAGGTCTCCTGATTTCCCTGTGGGTTCAGATTATTCCAATTATGAGTTGGACCCTTCTGCAAGTGTGCCAGTAATGCTCAGGGAGCAAATCCCAGGGAAGAGGTGAAAATAACCCTGAAAAGTATTAGCTTAGTGTGAACAGTACATAGCTTGGCAATTCCCATCTCTTTCTTAACAAAGCATCTGTAGTGCAGTTGCTTCTCAGTCATCCCAGCTGGGACCACAAATGCTGACTAAGCTGTCCCTGCCCTGGCACCCTGCTGCTGCAGGTGAGATGCCAAGGGGTTTGGATTTGCTTACACTGGGCCAGTCTGGGGATTTTGGTCTGAGCATGGCAGTGAATGCTCTTTAGGTGTGCCAGCAACTCAGGTGGCTGAGATGAATGCACTACAGAGAACATTTTGTTTGTAATGAAACAGAAGAGACCCAGGAACACAAGGTTTTTGCAGACAGCAACGAGGGCTGCAGCATCCTCAGCCCTGTGCAGATATGCAGGAGCTGTCTGTCAGTGCTGACAGAGCCTGGAGTTCCAGGGCTAGAGGACTAAAGCTCCAAGGGTGAACTGCCCACTCCTTCTGTTCCTCTTATGAGAGTGTCACAGAGCCAGGAGAGTGTCCTGCTGGAGGCAGGAAGCAACACTGCTGCTGGGAGCCATGGGTGGGCGGGTGGCTCTGGCAGTACTAGCTGTGGGGCTGCTGGCACATGGCTTCTAAGGGCTTTTGTCTTTGCAGAGCTTCCTGAGAGCTGGGCTGATATGCAGGAGCCACTGCTTGAGGGGATGTGCTTCACCCTCAAGTATCTGGGCATGACACTGGTAGAAAAACCAAAAGGAGAAGACATGGCTGCTGCTGCCATCCGCAGGATCGTGGCCACGGTGAGACTCGGTCCTGGGGCCCTGGTGTGCGGGGTCAAAGCCCAGCTCCTACACTCCCTGCATAGGGAAGTGTCTGTGTCCTAGCCCTGAGCTCCAGTGAGGGACTGTGCCCTTCCCAAGAGGAGGGTGGCATGCAGGAGGCTACTGGTGTCTGCCTGTGTGCTGTGGGGAAGCTGTCTTCCTGCTGGATAGCCCCAGCCACCTGCTCCTACAGCTGAACCTGGCTGGGAGCAGAGCTGTGCCTGCCACAGCATGGAGAGAAGGGTAAAGTACTGGGAGAAGTGGGGTCTGTCCTTTCCTGTATGTGTGGCAGGAGAGTGAACAGATTTGAAGTGTTCTGTGCAGGGCATGCCTTATTGCCAGACTCTGCTATTCCATCCCTACAGCAGGAGCCTTTGCAGAAAGTATCCAAGTGAGTGATACTGTACAGAGTCTGTGGGGCTCCTTCCAGCAAGGGGGTGAGGTGAAGACCCTTGCCAGGTTTGCAGAGATTGCTGGTGTTTTTCCACTGCCAGGCACGGGTTGGAGCTCGCAAGTTTCAGAAGGTGATTCTGACAGTGTCTCCAAGGGGCATCTCACTGCAGGATGCAGACACTAAGGAGATGGTGGAAAACATCTCCATCTACAGGTGGGCATGTCACGGGTATGGGCTGGGTGTTCCCCAGCAGCCAGCTGAAGACTAATGGGAATTTGAGCAGCCAGGGAGGGCTGGGCCTTCTGTCAGCAGCACCTTCAAACTTAGGTCTTTCCTTGGCTCACTGAGGCCTGTGCCCTCTCTCTGCTGTGCTCCAGCACTGCCTGAGGCTGAGTGTAGGCAGGGTCCTGGGTGGTCTTGAGTTCATCAGCCCATCCATCATCTCCTTGTGCCCTGCCTCTCTGTTCTGCAGGATTTTGAGGCTTGTGATTGGAAAGCCTCACAGTTAAGAGAGGACTGCATGTCTGTCTCCACTGCCATAGGACCACTCTTCTGGCTGCAGCTTCTTGGGCAGGCTAAAGGCAGTTGCTGTGAGAACTGATGTTCATTTCTCCTGCTGCCTCTTGTTCTTTGGCTGGGTTGGGTGTCCGGGTGCTGGGTGTGAGGGGCAGTAAATGTGCAGTCTGGTGGCTAGATGGGAAGCAGAGACAGGACATCTCTTTGCTGCAAAATGTAGGTCTCAGCGCCAGAGCTGATGTGCCAGGTCAGACCATCCTTCTGCTGGCCTCCAGCTGTGTCCTTGGAGGCAATCACCCACCCTTCTGTGCTCCTCTTGTCCCAATGCTTGAATTCACACATAGGGTTGAGCTGGCCATCAGAAAACTACAGGGCACTCTGGGATGGCACAGGAGGGAGAGCCTGTGGATGCAGTGATCTCTTAACCTGCCGCAGGTACCAGGCAGCCTCTGGTCCTTGCTGGGGGTTTGGGCTGCCTGGTCATCTCGGGCAGGTGAAAGCCTCAGGTTGTCAGCAGTGCTTGCTGATATGCTGGGAGTGCAGCAGAAGTGCCATGCCAGGGGTCCTGGATTGTCCTGACAGCTCCTCTCTGCCCACAGGATCTCCTACTGCACAACAGACAAGCTGCAGAACAAAGTCTTTGCTTATGTTGCCCAGAGCCAGGAGAGCGGGGCACTGGAGTGCCATGCCTTCCTCTCACCCAAGAAGAAGATTGTAAGCACTTACCTTCTGCTCTTGGCTCTGTGAGGTATGGGCGGGAGCAAGGGCCTGCTTTCTTCCCCTTCAGTGAGAGAAGGGGACCTGTTACCTGTGCGAGCCTCAGCTGGATTTGGAGCCAGGGAGGAGGTGTGCTCATGTGCTACACAGGCAGGGAGTGAGTAAAGGGGGGTTTCCTGTCCCAGCTCCTGAGGGTCTGCTCTTGGGGGTGGCTCAAGAGCACCCCCAAGGGCTGACAGACACAAAACTGAGCTCTGGCCTTCCATCTGTATGTTCTGCAGAGAAAGGCAGCATGGGATTCTGGGGGGTCTTGGATTTCATGGCAGTAGGGTTATCCTGCATTGAGGGCCCAGGTGGAAGCAGGCATTCCCTCTCTTTCATGTACACAGGCCCAGGCTGTGACTCTGACTGTGGCCCAGGCCTTTCAGATGGCACTGGATCTCTGGGAAGCAGCACATGCAGGTAGGAGGAATTTCTCAGATGTATCTCACTGCATAGCTCTGGAATCAGTGTCTCTCTGGTGAAACACACCAGGCAGGGAGAATGTTTTGTCCCTATAGTTGTGTTTCTCTGCCACTCCCCCGTCTTCAGCTGGGGTGGGAGGTGTAGCTGCTCTCTATGCTGAACTGCTGTGCATTGCCTGAGCTGTAGCCCAGCTCAGGGCTGGTGGTACTTGGCCTGAGCAGTGACCCCTCACATTTGTTTGCACCCTCCTGCCAGCACAGCAGGGATTCCCTGTTCCTCACCCACAGTCTTGCCTGTACATTCCCAGCTGGGCTTTCTGCAGGTTGCAGACACTAACTCTGCTGCTTTTGCCCTGTCCCAGGCTCTAGGCAGGATCAGCCCCTTCACCCTTCATGTGTCTTGGAGAGCAGTGAGGCCGCCAGACCCCGTGAGCCAGCCCCCCCAGGGAGCGCTCCCTTCACACACCACTTTGGGGTACAGTATGTGCAAGTCAGGCCCATGCTGAGGGCTGTCTGGATTAGGGCAGGGACAGAGTGACCCCTCTGCAGCTCCCTCCTCCTGCCCTCCCAGAACCCTGCTGATACCTGCACAGCCCCCATTGCACATGGCAGCCTGATGTGAGGAGGTGCATTGTGATGCGTGGCTCACACAGCAGGTGCAGTTCCTTGGTGTCTGTGCTCCAGGAGCTCTGCTGCAGACCCACCACTACTGCAGCCTCAGCCCTGCTCTGCTGGCCCTGTCACACAGGGACCTGGGACCTGGGCTGCACACCTGGTTTCATGGCTGGGGTGAGAGCTGCCTCTGAAGGAGAGGACCCTTGGATCATCATCCTGCCAGCCTGGGCTAAGGCTCAGCCCAGCCCATCTGCAGTGCACCTCCTGCATGGCCACAGCAATTGGAGCATTGTCATATTGGTCTCACTATGTCCCTGTCTAGGAACTTCTGGATGCTTGGTCATTGGCCTCATGCTTCCAGTGTGAGTCCAGCCTGGCAGTGCTTGGGGTTGTACCTGTGTGCAGCCTGCTCCTAGTAGTCTCTGCCTGCCTCTCCAGCTGCAGGGTGTGCTCACCCACCACTGTCCCTGGGCAGAGGTGCACTGTGTCAGCAGCTCTGTGAGCATGGTCCATGCTCACAGCTTGTGTTTGGAACTTTGCACCTGGAAGGGATGTGGGACGAGCTATGGCCTGTCTGTCCTTGTGTGCCCAAGCCCAGAGGGTTCTGGCAACCCAGCACTCCAATCTTTCCCCCACTGCTTGTGGGAAACCTTTGTACTGTGCCTGGGTAGTGAGTGTCTTGTGAAGGGACTGGACAGGGTCTGAGCAGCCCAGCCTCACTCCTGGCAGAGACCTGCCCATGCAATGAGATATCATGGTGGGGTTTTGTTTGTTTGCTTGCCAGGAGGAAGAGGAGGAGGAGGAGGAAGATGATAATGTCAGTGAAACCTTGCCTGGGTAGGTGGTGAGCTGCTGCTTGTATTCATGGATCTCTCTGATGAAGCCTGTCTTGTCTCCTTCTCTGTCTTGTCTTCTTCCCCTGCAAGGGGAGCTGCTTAGGCCATGGGCATGGTGGGATCATGGAGGAGAACTGCATGGAACCAAGGGGGAAGCTTCCTGTATTTCTCTGCTTCTATCCGCTGAAAACTCACATGAGTTGAGTGGTGGAGGAACAGACCATGCAGTCCAGCTTTTGCAGCAGAGAATTGGGGTACAGATACTGACCCCCAGGATGCACCCAGAGATATTTCTTACTCTGTTTCTGCCAGTCTTTGCTGGGGCCAGCCTGTCCAGACATGTCTCTGGGACTCAGTTGTCCCTCTTCTCCCACTGATTTCGCTGGAGGTTGGACCAGGATGGAGGCCTGGTCATGCTGACTTCTGTGTGGACTGGGGCTGTGGGCTGAGCTTGATGGTGTGTGTCCTGTGTTGGGGAGGAGCTGACGGAACAGTCCAGCAGCAGAGGATTAACCTGCAGGTCTGCAGAAGTGCAGGTGGTGGGCCTGTGAGGCCCGTTCCATCATGGCTGTTCTCCATGTACATGGCAGTGGGTACCCAGCTGGGTCTGGCAGGTCTGAGCTTGGCTTGAGCCGGAGCCAATGTGTGCACAGGTTGGAGCTGTATGTGTAGCCCAGTGAAACACCACCCCTTTGGACATGGAGCTCCTGATGGGAAGGAGATACAGCTTTGCAATCTTGGGACAGGCTGGCCTGGGAGGAGTTTGGTAGCAGCGGGGCTTAGAGCCTTCTGCACCCCCATTGCCTGCTGCTGCTGTGCCATTCCTGCCGTGCCAGGGTCATGAGCATGCTGTGTCTCTCAGGAGGCCATGCTTGGGGTATGATGGATGCTGTGTTCTCTTCCAAAGCAGCATGGAGGAGCTGGGGAGGGGACTCCACAGCCCAGCAGGTAAGTTTCTTCAGTACTGCATTGGCTCATCCCCCATGTCCTCTGTAAGGCAAGGCGGGGGCTGATGCTCACCTGGGAACATCTGCTTCCCTTTGCCGGCTGTGCTGGGCTCCCAGCTGTACACCTTATGGTCCATATCTTCCTTTCTCTCCCTTTTCAGAATTAATACCTCTTGTGCCCCCATCGAGCTCTCCTTCAGCACAGCTACTGTGCTACCGCCTGGGGCCACCCCCGGACAGCTGGACGGTGCTGGGAGGGGCTGCAGACTCCCCCAGCACTGGCACCAGGACTGCTGGCCCCAAGACTCCCCTGGGCTAAGCCAAATCTCTGCAACAACGGACCAGCCACTCAGGATTCACCCTGTGCCTGCACCTGGGCCAGCCAGTGCCTGCCGCTGCCCTGGCACTGCCCTGCTGGCACGGGGGCTGCTGGCACTGCTGCCATGGAGTGCACAGGCTGCAGCACCTGCTCCTTGCCATGTGCCGCCTGCATGAACCGCCTCGAGCTGCAGCTGCTCCCTGGGCGGGGGGACCTGTGCTCCTCGCTCTGCTCACTGCCAGGCCATGCAGGGCCACCCTGCGTGCTCTGAGCCTGCCTGATGCAGGCAGTGTACACCCGCAGGGAGCAACAGCTCTAGGCCTGGAGCAGTGCGTGATGAAGGCCTTTCCCCTGCAGTTCAGCCCCACACCCTCTCACAAGTGAAATGACCTGGTTTTTAAAGGAAAGCTCTGCCTTCAGAGAGAAATAAATTGAGTTTTTTATTATTGTCATTTGGGTTTGAGTGCTGAATGGGCACCGTGCATAAACATGCATGGTACAGTGTCTTCTGCACTGCCTGTGGTGAGGGTTGCTGTTCCCCATGCTCATGGAGCCTGGAACTGCCACATCTTCCTTGGCTGCGAGCCCTGAGGGAGCAGTTCCTCCTTGTGCTGAGGGCTGCCAAGGCCCAGGGTGCCTTTGTGACTTCGGAAGAGCAGGCTGAGGCTGTGCTGTACTGGTGTCTTGAGCACCTAGGAATGTCACCTGCACTGATAGGAGTTGATGCTGACCACGCTGAGGTCAGGGCAGGCACAAGCCCTTGTGTGCCAGCTGCTCTGAAGTGTCTCTGCCCTGCTGCACCCCAGCTGTACTCTACAGAGGCAAGCCATGCACTTGGTTTCCTTTCCAGATGGAGCAGGGGAGGCTGCAGCATGTCTGGTTTCTCTGGCAAGTGACAGCTTGCAGCTGTGTTCTGGCCAAGCCCCTCACTGCTAGGTTCCTGTCACATCTCCGCACAGCTGCCCTTCTCATGCTGGTGGCACTGAGAGCCCAGCTCAGCCCACCTGAGCACCGATGGCTGGCTGCAGCCGGGGTGGCAGGGCCAGTCTCCCAGCAAGTGCCATAGCCACTGGGGAGGCCTGGGGTGCCATGGATCACTCAGGAGCTGTGCATGGTTTTTTTCACTTGAGGTTTTGCATATTGAAAGTGATTTCATGCCTCTTTTCCCTCAGCTGGGAGTACAGAGTAACATGTAACTTGTTAGGGTGAGCAGGTCATTGTCACGCCCTCAGCTTCCAGCACTCCTCTCTGCACTTCCCTGCCCTCCTGCAGTCATGGTCTGAGAAGAAGTGGTGACTTGCGGTTTGGTTTGGGTTTGTTTTTGTTTTTCAGCAGAGGGAAAGAGCTTTTTCCTCAACAGCACACCCTGATTTTACATTTAATGTCAGACTTGTGTTCCTTTTTTTATTTAGCCAAACCTCTGCATTTTGACCTTTTTCTTGTGCCTGCCCTAGTTCCTCACCTCTGCTACACAGTCTGATCCTTTGTGACTTTTTGTGTGTGTCTCTGGCCTAGCTAAAAATCTCATGATAGCAGGCATGTCCACTATGACTTTCCAAGACAGAACTTGTAAACATTTTCCAGGGCACTAGAACGTTCTTAAAACTCTCGTATTTCCCTGACAGCCCTAGTTTTTCTAATGTACCTCCTTAAAAAGAGCTAGCAGGCAAAACAAGGTGTTAGTGTCTCTGGAGCTGTGGCCATGCTCCCGGCATGATCACAGCCCAGCAGCAGCTGCATCCCACCGCCGTGGTGCTGTTGCTCCTCAGGTACCCCTCTCCACAACTGAGCAGGGAGCAGCCCAGGCCCCTCTGGCCAGCAGCCTGTCGGGGTCAGACCCTGTCCCCCGTCTCGGCCCTGCTGCTGGGATGTGCCTGCTCTCTGCAGAGAAGCAGCCACGATGCCACCCTCAGTGGGACAGCCTGCAGCTGCTCCAGCAGCACCAAAGGGCCCAGCCTGCAGCAGCAGCTGCTCTCCCTCGAGGGCCAGGGGCGTTCGAGGTGACCACGGAGGACCTCCAGCTCTTGCACAGCATGGAGGAACAGATCTCCTATGGCCAGGACACGTGCATTCGAGAACTTGTACATGCATGCATGCATGGACACACACAGAGACCTGAAGCTCTGATGCTGCCTTTGAGCCAGGATGCTTTTATTGAAAAGACCCTGCCACAGGAGTTGCTTATCATGTCCCTTCCCTGCCTAGTCCTGCAGCAGGAGCTGAGCAGCACCTGGAAGGAAAAGTCCTGAAAGTGCTTTTACTGGGAGATTTATTCCTGGAAGACACTGGATCCTGTGATGCTTGAGTCCAGGGCTGCAGAGCCTGTCTGTGGCAGGCTGCAGAGCACAGCGTGGAGGGAGAGCAGCAGCCAGGGCAGCAGGGAGCCTCCTTGTTTCACCCCATTCCCTCCAAATGAGACCCTGCAGGCCTCACCACATTGTCTCCTCCAGGCAGCACAGGCTGCTCAGAAAGTTCATGGCAGCTCCCCTCAAACAGCCTGAATGTGCCAGCCCTGAGCCCTTCTGGGGACCCAGCGCAGCCACAGCCATGCCCTGACGCTGCCCGCTCCCCCAGCCCTGCAGGGCTTCCACCAGCACTCCCTGCCCCGCTGCAGGCTCCGCGGGCTGGCCAGGCACTGTGACAGCACTAGCTCCTCATCGTCCCTCTTGTCTTCATCCTCTGCAGTAGACAGAGAATTTGAAGG